AGAATGCATTGATTTACGAAAATGCATTGATGACTTTATCGCTTCGAAAGTCCGGTGAGCTTCTATCGTCAAGGAATTCGCAAGCTACCCGAAAGATGGACAAAAGGTCGTTGATGCAAACGGGGAATATTTTCGCTGATTAATATTTTTTTTGTTTGTTTTTGAATTAAAGATTGAATTTTACAAAAAAAAGCTCAGAACTTTTTTGTACACCTAATACAAAATATCAATATAAAAATCCATAACGAAATATTACAATTTTGTTAGATGTCAATAAATAATGTTAAAATAATATAATATTGAAATATTTTATTAATTAAATCATCAATTATATTTAACCACAATCACATACTATATTTCTCCTAATACTTTTATCATACAAAAGAGTACTTTTACTATATAAAAGAGGTTTTTGATGGTATGCCATAAGTTCTGATAATTCATTATATAATCGTGGTTAAATACAACGCATATACAATATACTTATTTTTTAGTTTAGTTATGATTCAATTAACAAAATATTAATTTCAATATTACTGTATTTCAATCTGTAATATCAACCTATTCTCCTGCTTTTTATTTTTATAAACTAATTTTTATAAATTATTATTAATAAAATTTTTCAAACTTAATTTATACATTTTTATGTATATTTATAATCAAGATATCTCATATCTCTCTATTATACTAAGACCTATCTCTTTAATGCTTTTTTATGAAAAATCTTTTCATGTATATTCATGATAATAAAAATGTTTCAGAAAAATGAAAAAATATATATTTAAATGCTAACTTAATAATTAATATTAAGTATATTAAATGCTAAAATAAAAACATTTTGAAATGTTTGAAAATAAAAATGCGTAAAATCATGTATACGATGCAAGGAGTGTAAATAATCCGTGATCATACGGTATAATATGTATGTATGAACTAACAATTTAATTCTTAGAAAACTACAACACGAAACATCGCATTTCCTCGGCAAGCAGAATATTGGTTGCTAAAGTCTTTTTAATATGAAATAAATTCAATTAATTATATTACCCACCACGTGCCGCTTTGGTTTAGCAGACTATCAACGTAGTGGTTCTATAATAATTCGATGATCAATATTATTGATATCAATTAAAGTAGGTATACTATGCAGGTTCTAACTCAGAAGCGTTGAGGGGGGTGCGGGTGTGCGGGGGAGAACGGACGGCGCGGGAAAGGGGGAAGGGGAAGTCCGAGGCGGCGATCCTTTGACTGCCG